AAGCCGGCGCGCCCTTACCTGGTGGTCGTCATAAGTGTGACTAGTGTAAGTAGTGGTGTAGTATAAGCCACGTGCCGACGCCAGAGGATTTACGAAGCGACGGCAGAAAAAGAAACGAAGCAGGAATGTGGTCCTATTGGACTCTTCTCGCAATGATTAGAGTTGCTTCTGTCCTATACAAGGATAGCCCAGAAAACAAGCGCTTAATCCGCAAGACCAAAAAATATATCTTGGAAGATAATTATTGACGAATCTGCTGTTATCCTTAACAATCAGTGCTCCTCTACAAATGGCTTCCGAAATGCACACTTCTACTTCTAACTTCTTCTTCTTGCATGCTTCTTTACTCCCGTATATCATGGGCGCATAATGACAACACGTATATATTTTAGAGCACGCTTCCACGAAAATTATTGAATGAACTAATCATGAAGTGGCAAAAGCATTCCATTGTCCGCTCCGGAGATATGGAAGGGAAGAAATGTCCCGGAGCTGGTGGGTATCTAAATAACAGAGCTGACAATTGTCTAGAACAATAGACGCTATACCTTCAGAATGTGCTGGTACATCTTCTCCCCAATGCAGTTTCGCGGTCCTCCGCCAAAGCAGAACAGCTTGTCTCTGTCATTCTTGTTACTGCAAGACATATCACAAGCAGCTTAATGACTCCACTTCATAAATTTTCGCAGGAATGACACGATAGAAGAAGTGAGCTGGAAATGATGTAAAAGTACGTGACCAACCGAAATGCAAAGCCAAACAAGTAGCCAAACACAGGTCTGCGTTAAATCATTGCTCCTATGCCAAATTCAAAGCAATTAAGCCCAATCACATGAAAGGCGTGTCAAAGGACCGGCCCCTAAACCTTGGCCTTCACGCAGCACCCGGTGACTGGCACTGGGAGAGGGCACAGTCGACCTTCAGAAGAGCTGCAGACCACCGACCTGGTCCTCCAACGTTCCGGGTCAAACGTGTCGGGCGCGGGGAACACGGCTGGGTCTCGGTGTGCCGCCGCCGTGCCGTAGACGACAGCCTGGCCGCGGCTCAGCCGGTACCCTGCGGACACGCCGGACGGTCTCAGCCCACGCCGGTACACACACATGGTCACCCGCACACGCACGCACGCACGCACGCACGCACGCATTCACGCATCTCCGCCCGCGTGTCCGGTGATGGTGGGAAGGGAACAGAGAGAAAGAGTAGACTCTGTCTCGTCGGCTCCAGGGTGGCGGATGACGCAGTGGTCTGGACCAGAGCTGGGGTGGTGAGCACGGCACCCGGCTGCAGCGTCACAGTCACCGAGGCCGGCTGTCGGGAAGAACGCAGCCGACACTCGGCGGACAACAGAGGACAGAGGGCAGCGGTAGGGTGACGGCCCACCCGCCACCCGGGTACGACCCAACCGCAACTAGGGCTCGGCCCACCCGCCACTTGGGCTCGACCCACCTGCCACCAAGGTACGACCACCTGCCAATGGGGCTCGACCCACCTGCCCCTAGGGCCCGACTCACCCGCCAATAGGGCTCGACTCAGCTGCCCCTAGGGCTGGACCCACCTGCCACCTGGGCGTCGCGCCTGACGAGGCGCCGGCCGCCCAGGAACGGCGGCTGCAGCCGCTGCACCTCCAGCAGTACACAGTCCAGGTCCTCCTCGCTGATGTGGCCGTCCGCGCTGACGTAGCGCTGCCGGCCGAGGAACGGTCAAGCGGGACCCGACGACAGATGTCCAGACGGTACATGGGCCGTCCGGCAGCTCAGCGCGCCAAGAGAGGTTGCGCGGTACGGTGGTGAAGCGACTCGAGAGGGACACAGTGATGGTGATGGGCTCTGACCTGCTTCCAGAGGGGCGACAGGACCACGGCGGAGGTGAGCAGCGAGGCCAGCGCCTTGGGGACCAGCGCTGACGAGCAGAGCAGCAGGTGGTTCCGCCGCGTGTCCTGGTCTTCCACCGCCAGCTTCAACGACTCGATAAACACTGTCAACAGCCCGCCGGCGCGTGACTGGCGAGCACGCGGAGCCGCTTGATCGATTCGACAGCATAGCATAGACAGCAGACGATCAGCCAACGAAAATAGAAGCACGCCAGACAGCTTCGGCGACTCGAAAACCATTGCCTTGGCAGAGCACTGGTATGATGAGTTGTCAAGCACATCAGAATAGGTGAGACATGGTGCAGTTCCAGCGAAATAGAAAGGCGTTCTTCGATAAATTCTGAATATGTACAAACGATATGGCGAGCGGTGATTGGTGCGTTACAACGCGGGCAGCATGGCCGGTCTTCACCACACAGCGGAGCGCGGGTGCTTTACTGTTGTTGTTTATTGGACTTTACGGGCGCGCCGACTGCGTTGGTCATTTGGCGCCCATACAGCAGAGTACAGGTGCATGTGGACTGAGGCACACTAGGCAGTTTCGACGACTTCGGAAACACTTCCTGCCAGCGTTTGGCAACATAATAAAGCAGTGTATCAAATTGTTTTAACGGCTCGCTACACTACTGGCGAAACATCGCCGGCGTATGGACTGACAGACAATTGGACACTGCTCCCATGTGGTAACCAAAGCAATCTATACTTGCTAAATATATCCGAGATACACAAGCATTCGTCAAGTAATTACAGGCGTAGAGTAAAGCGCATCATAAAACGGTGAGCAAAAACATTTTTTCGGGGTGTGTCAGTCGTCATCAAACGAGAGCTGTCTCACTAGATTGAGGTTCATCCTCCAGCATCTGATCTGCCAGCCCCAGAAGCTTCTCCTTGGCCTCCAGGGCTTGCTTGTAGGACGATGACGTCATCAGTGGTACACTCACCGACACAGGCAACGAGTAGAGTCCTGGCGGAGGGACGCCCTGTCAGAGCAGGGACTGAATGCACCACGCGAAAACAGCCGTGTCACCAATCGCAGCGTGTGCTACACGGAAAATGTCAAGAGGTGACCGCCAGTTTAGAGATAATGCGCACGAAGAACAATATTTGCGCTCCAATCCCCTGGTGCACAGTGCTTGTTATATTGTTGTTAATTGTGGTTTTTGGGCGCGCCGACTGCATAGGTCATATTGCGCCCATAACGTTGTCATTTAGTTACGAGGTGAATATATAGAGCGAAATCCTATTTTTGCAAGGGGTGCACAATGCCCTGCTCGAGCAAGTACGGTTCGATCTCGGGTTAGAAAAAGGAGTTTTGGAGTCCAAACAGAGGTTTAGGAGGGCAATTATATATATATATATATATATATATATATATATATATATATATATATGTACGTATCCCATCCTCTGGGTGCGGTTAGCTAAAATAAGGTGACAAATTTGTCTTAAAGTTTAACAGATGTGTCGATAGAAGATCATCTTAAAGCACTCCGTAGTGCCAATGTCACTGCAGGGAGAAAAATACACTCAGGAAACGCCAAGTCAGCGCGCCTACGGACAGTGTCTGCTGAGCCAGTGGGGTCTACCGTTACTGTGCTAGCCGGTGGTGCCTGCCGTCACTTTGTCAGTGGGTGGTATCTGCTGTTGCTGGGCCAGTAGGTAGTGCCTGTCGTTCCTGTGCTAGGTGGTGGTGTCTGACATTACTCTGCTCGCGGCTGGTGCCTGTCGTTGCTGTGCTACCGGATGGTGTCTGCCATTGCTATGCTAGCGGGTGGTGCCTGTCGTTGCTATGCTAGCGGGTGGTGCCTGCCGTTGCTGTGCTACCGGGTGGTGTCTGCCATTGCTATGCTAGCGGGTGGTGCCTGCCGTTGCTGTGCTACCGGATGGTATCTGCCATTGCTATGCTAGCGGGTGGTGCCTGCCGTTGCTGTGCTAGCGGACGGTGTATGCCATTGCTATGCTAGCGGGTGGTGCCTGCCGTTGCTGTGCTAGCGGCTGGTGCCTGCCATTGCTGTGCTGGCGGGTGATGCCTGCCGTTGCTGTGCTAGCGGGTGGTGTCTGCCATTGCTGTGCTAGTGGGTGGTGTCTGCCGCTGCTGTGCTAGCGGGTGCTGTCTGCCATTGCTGTGTGCTAGCGGGTGGTGTCTGCCGTTGCTGTGCTAGCGGGTGGTGTCTGTCTGCCGTTGCAACGTTAGTACGTGGTCTCTTCTCTTCACGTGGCATCAGACGGTGTTAGCCGTTACCTGGACGGTGTGTGGTGTCTACCGTAACTGCGCCAGTCGGTGGTGGCTACCACGAAGATGTCCAGTGTCTGCCGTCACCTTATACGTACATGGGGTCTGCCGGCCTGTACCAGTGGGAAGTGCCTGCCGTCACTGCGCGTGGCTGGTACTGGTTATCGTATCAGTAGGTGGTAGTTACCGTACCAGAGCCAGTGGATGGTGGTCACCGTACCCCGCAATGGCTGGCGTTTACTGTGCCAGTGCTCGTCGTCTGCAGTTGCTGAGCTAGTTGGCAGCAGTCATCGCGTCAGTGGGTGCTGGTCACAGCGTCAGTGGGTAGCTGCCGTCCCAGCGAATGATGATGCCGTGTTAGCGGGCGGTGGTTACCGTGCCAGTGTGTGGTGGCCACCTCGGTGACGGCCGTGACCTGCTCGGGCCGCTCGGCCCGCTCCAGGCCCAGGAACACGGCCAGGTTCAGATCCATGGCCAGCCGTTTGAAGGCGGCGTACAGGTTGAGCGGCGCGTCGGTAGCCAGCTCCTCCGCCCAGCCCTGGATCACACGGCCGCTGATCGCCTGCGGTGTCGGCCAGCGCCGGTCAGCACGGTCCCACCAGCGCCGCGCCGCCCGACCCATCACAGATCCGCAGGGCCGCGCACAAACCACCGGCACCGTCCAGCGCGACACCTTTCACCGGCGAGGCTCTCGCTGTCATGGTCAGGCGTTCAGCCATTGCGTATGAATGTTGGGGCGGGCCCAGAGTCAGTGTCGGACACGTGGAACACCTCGCCAAACCCGAACGCTGTGTGAGTGCGATGAGGGAGGGTGGGGGGAGCTGCCTGACCTTGTAGTTTGATGCCGTTTCCGCATTGAACAGTCCATGGAGTCTTGCGCGTGTGCTTTCCGCCTCCTGCCCGTCCATAAAGACGAGATTCTCACCAAACAGCGGCAGGAAAAGGTCTCTTAGACCACACTGGAACGTGTCGGGGTCTGGAAAGCAAATCGCGCTGATTAACACGACGTCCGGTACACACAGACACCTCGCGCTCCCATTCGCCGAACAGGTTCAGAGAACAAGCTCAGTTGAGACGGTGAAGCGCAGTAATGTTCTCACATGGGATTGTGTCCCTACTGCGCCCGGGGTGCTCAGCAGACTGCTGCTGGACTCAAGAGGAATTGGGTTCGATTCCGGATTCGATTTCAGATATGTTCACACGTATATATTAGGACGGTTCATCGGTACACAAGTATATGGTGTGTGACGTGATGCTACTGGTCCGGTGACCCCGGCTACGTACGCCCCTGAGTCCGTCTCGGACAGCCCGTCATATGGCCGACCGGCCGTCGGGCCGGCAGCCGGCCGGCCGTGCTATATCACCGACAAGACCACTGACCGGCCAGCAGGTGTCGGACGGCCGTGTTGTCGCCCAGGACAACGGTGGGTCGCAGCAGCAGGCGCGTGGTGAAGGCCCGGCCGCCGTGCTCCTGCAGGCCGCGCGCGATGAAGCCCACCGGGTCCCGCCACAGCTCGAGCGAGCGGTCCGAGAGGAAGGTGCGGCCCGCGCTGCCCGGCGGCCGCACCGCCGGCGCGCCTGCAACGCAAGTCGAGCCGCGCTGAGGTCGAGGCGGTCCGCTGACGTGGCGCGGATCTGGCGATGATGGTGGCGCCGGGTGGGCGCGCGGCGTTGATATCGCAAACATACAAACTGGCGGGCAACGAGACACGGCTCTTGGGACTGGCCACCAGGTGCCGATGTACCGACAACAGCGGGACGGGTGCTGCCCAGCGGGTGCACGCACTGGCGGCGCGCGGTCTGTTGTATCATAGAGTTCGTGATCTCGCTAAATGTGGGAAAATAGCGGCACTGTTTGAGGAAGTAAACGATCGAAGGCCGCTCACCGCATTTTCGAGATGGCGGTAGCGAGGACAAGTACTCGCCCTTATCTCAAATATTACCCACGATTGGCGGCAAATCGGTGCAATTCCAGGTTTGTAGTATTGCCGCCCCTCAGTCTGCACACGTCATAAAAGCAGCTGTACGGTTCATTCATCCAACCCATCCGCTAGTTCACCACTTCGATCGTCACAGAATGCTTCTTCAGTCTGTTGCGTGCCGCCCGCTGTTCAATGGTCCCTGCAGCCGGCTCCACCAGGTGGCCACGTGGCGTATTGTCAACATTTGGGGTCCTGTTCATGGCGTCTCACGCCGCCGGCCGTCACACGGCTGGGAAGGACTGTCATGCGGCTGGAAGGCACTGTCCCACGGCTGGAAGGCACTGTCCCACGGCTGGGAGAGGTTGTCGCACGGCTGGGAGGTGCTGTCCCACAACTGGGAGGTGCTGTCCCACAACTGGGAGGTGCCATCCCATGGCCGCCGCCCCAGCGGAAGCCGTTCTCAGTCCCATATGGGAGGTCCTGTCCCACAGTTGGGAGGTACTGTCCCACAGTTGGGAGGTACTGTCCCACAGTTGGGATGTACTGTCCCACAGTTGGTAGGTACTGTCCCACAGCTGGAAGGTGCCGTCCGATCGCCGCTGCACCGGCGGACGCCGTTCATGCCGGCACTCGGACTCACCTGGGGGCACAAGCCTTCTGCAAGCGCCGGCCTCACAGCGACGTCTGTCGTGTTCGGTTGCTCTTCATTGTAGTTTGATGTGATCGGCAGAACCGCAGGTGGATAGAACCGTGGACTGCGTGCTTCGCCCAACATATGCCGATGTATAATGGCCGGTGCCGCCACTCTCTTATCGTCCGGCGAGTGGATACCACTTGATATGCCCATAATTATACCATTCATACACGTCTGCACCAGGGACGCAAAAACTTTGGTGCAATAGTACCCACATTCGGTCCGGTCATCCCCGGCAGTACTGAAGAGCGTGACCGGAGAATGAGACGTCATGGCGCGTGTCGTAGCGGACGCACAAACTTTGACGAAATCAACATTATTTCAACATTGTGTGATTAAAAGATGCTCGTCCCAACGTGACGAGGAATGTTGCTCAGTATAAAATCCACGGGAGCTGGTCCTACTGCCAACACCAGTCTGAATTGTATCTGTATTAGACTGTCGGACAAGTGTCTAGGCCCGCACGGATGTAGTGCAGCCAGTTTCGAGCCCGAATCCGCGTCGCTAATGCGCGGTGCGAGAAGCGGTATGCGTGGCAGAAACGAAACTGAATATACAGCTAGCTTTCACGGGAGTGGGCCGTTCCACGTGTTGAGCATTTCGTTCAGAAGTGTTATGGGCCTAAAATACGAATTTTGACCAGACAGAGCTCCACCTTTTGTTCTGGACATCACATTCGATGCTTCTAGTGTTGGGGCTGAAGCGTTACTGTGGGCCCGACTCAGCAGTGGGAGAGATCATGACCTCTCTGAGAGATACGGAGCTCTACCAACGGAGCGTGCATTTTTCGCTCTAATTGACAAGTTTGATGTTGGATCTCACCAGGATATGGCGCGATGAAGTTCCTGCTTTTTATCGGCGGTTATCCCCCGAACCGTCTAGCTGTTTGGCGGCCCGCAGCGACCTCTCCAAAAGTCACCTGCGGCTAGGGCACGATGAAGCCAAATTTCGGAGTTTCAGTTAACTTATCCAAAAGACCACTGTATGAGGGAAATGACTGAGGCATGTCAGGTCCCGGCTTAGTCCACCACTGACTTCAGTAGATATCCGGCAGTCCACAGTATCATCACTTTGCCTAACCCCTGCAATCCGGTCATGGCGGCTGAAGGCTACGCTATGTTGCGGGGCGACCTCACATTATACATTGGAAATATATTTAGTTGCATACGACATGCACAAGCTTGATTTGAGCGAATTTTGGCCAATCCGACGAGCCAACCGTCATAACTTGCTTCAAATGACTTAGGTGAATGCTGTAGAGGACACCGGGATCACTTAACACCACAATGCACAACCCGGGAACACCGCGAATCACCATAGCTCAGTTGGTTGGAGCGCCTGGCTTCTGATCCACCCGCCCATGGAGGGTGGGTTCAAGTCGGTCCAGGCGCTCGCTGTTTGCCCTTGACACATCATGGTCTACCCTACACCCTATGCATGCAGAGTAATTAAAAACTGAAATAATAAGAATATATGCATATATATATATATATATATATATATATATATATATATATATATATTTGGTAACGGCTGCGCTTTATGTCGGGTGACGTCAGTCAGGACGGATCGCGTTGAGCGATGCGGTCAGTTCCGAGATACTCTGATTAATTTGATGCAATGATTTTTGCTGGGAACGTTTCCTTTAAGCGGTAACACTTCCGCAACGCTTCGGGCTTAGCACAAACCTTATGGGACGTGAGTAACCAGAATGCAATACTTCTATTACAGCAATGTTCTAGTCTTTAACGTTACGGTCGAGGACCAGGCGCAGGAGCCGCAATATTGGTCTCCAGAAACCGTTTTGAAAAGCTTCTCTATACCATCACGATTTTCTGGTCGTGCTGGCAATAGCCAATGTGCAATTTCCCACTGATACGTGCACTTCCTGAACATGCAGGACGTCAAGCCGTTTTGTTAAGGATTGACCACTAATCAACTGTATTTGACTGACCGATACGCAGATCGCAATTCAATCATCCGTGAAAAAAGAGTTGTAATCTTCACAAGGCTTTATCATCGGGCGCACTCCTCAGCCGATTCGCCAAAAGTCTGAGTAAAAAGGCTGCATAGGCTTGAATCTTTTATTTTGTGATCAAGTAGCGTGAGGCCACGCAAGTGGATTGCTGCGCAAAAGACGCAGGTATAAATACTCCCGAAGCGTAACACGAGACAAACAGATCAGAAACAAACTGCGTTCATGTGCAAAACGCCGACAAGGCCACTTACACCCGATCCGATTCGACTCGCATGAGTTCGTGGAAACAGGCATCTGCCACATCTTTAAACAACACTATCAGTGCTTAACCAAGCAAAGCGATAGGAAACATGACGGGAGCCCAGCTGCCGTCCACGCAGCGCTGACGCCTGCCGAAAACCCGACAGCCGACGAGCGCGGAGCGAATACTGCTAAACAAGTGGGGGCCCCCAGCCTGACGGTGCGGGCGGCGTGCCGGCCTGACTAGGGGGCGTATGGCAGGGTGGGCGGCAGGCGGCCGAGTTTGATGGCGTCCCAGACCCAGTCGGCCGTGACGACGGCGACGCCCCGGCGCCGCGCCTCGGCCGGCGCCAGCTCGCTCGGCTCCGCCACGTAGTGGGTGGCCAGCGCCAGCTGCTCAGCCGCCAGCAGCTCGCCGTCATAGGCCACGATGTATCGCCGCAGGCGCTCGTCCTCTGCCAGCCGCGGCGACAGCACAGCTAGGACGGGCCGAAGCGTGGCCGGCAGCGCGGCGGCCGTCCTGCCGCCCCGCCTCTCGGCCGGCGCCCGGCCGACGCCGCCGGTCGACGTCCCGGCGGCTCCGCGCGCGCCGTCGGCTGATGGCGAACTCGGCCGGCGCCGCTTCGCCGGCGGCGGTACGTCCGTGTCGGGGACCGCGACCCCCGCGGGGCTCGACTCGTTCTCACTGGCAGGTCGCTTGGTGGGGGAGACGCTCGCCGATGAGGCGCTGTCGTCGAACACCTGCTTGGAGTTCTCGTACAGCTGTAACAGCTCCTTGAGAGATGTGGCCGTCTCCCAGGTTTTGTCGTCGCGAATTTTCGTGACGCGCGGGAAGCGGATGGATATACCGTGCGCAGTGTGAACATCGTGCTTGGTGAACTCTGCCCCGGTGATCTCCCACACCGGCGATGCCTTAGGATCCTTGACCACGAAGTCAGGGATCATGGTCTTGGTGCAATTCAACCACTTGGGCACCTTGCTGGGGTCCTTGCTGATCTTGACAACCGACAGCTCCTTCTGCAGCCGGTCCAACGTGGCATCGTCGTGGCCGCTGTGCGCCTTGGTCACCGTGCGCCAGCGACTGCCATCAAAGCAGCCCATCAGGAACACCGACATCATGCCGCCCTTGTTGCCGGTGCCGAACCACGCGCCGAGCACCACCAGGTCGGCGGAGTCCGCCGCCTGGCCGTCGCCCAGGTAGTCTTTCTTCACCTTCAGCCAGTGCCGCTTGCCGGGTTCGTACACGCTGCGCGTGTCCTTCAGGACCAGACCCTCCAGACCCTGGCGGATCACGGACGCGATCATCTCCGAGAGCTCCGACGACTTGTCCACGCGCTTCATCTCGGAGAACATGATCCGGTTCGGGATCTCCGTCATGTGCTTCTCCAGGATCTTCCGACGTTCCAGGATCGTTTTAGTCATCAAATTTTCGCCGTTCAGGTGCAGGCAGTCGAACACAAATAGGCATACGTTCGCATCTTTGAACGCAGACTTTTTGTGGACGCCTAGCGTGCCGAAAGGCAGAGGTTTTCCCGTGGTAGTGTCAATCAGGAGTACTTCGGCATCCAAAATGATGTCTTCGCCGTGTGGAAACGCCTTGGGGATGAATTCCTTGAACTGCTTTACCTTGTGCGGCAGGACGGGCTTAAGTGAGCGAGAGAAGTAAGCGAACGTCTTGTCTTGTTTGTGCAGCTGCACCCTCTCCCCATCGTACTTGATCTCCGCCAGCATGCCGTTTGGGCACTTTTTCATCGCGTACTCCACACTCTTACAGGCTTCTGCCAGCATAGGCAGCACTGGGGTCATCAGTGATATGCCGATCTCCAGCGAGCCTACCTTACCGGCCCGCCGATGGCCTTGCACGCGCGAAAGCACGTCCTCCAGATCCCTGGAAGCCTGGAAGGCCTGGTATGCGTCTGGGTGTATCCCGTCCAGAATGTGCTTGGCTCCGGCATTAATGCGCAAGTCACCTTTGATGAGACGCACGAAGATCTTCAAGTCGTTGGCAGTACACCGTTTGGCGACTTTCTTGAGAAGATTTTGCTGCTCCTCTTCTTTAGTCAGACGCGATAGCTCATCAAGATACTTGTTAACCTCCTGAATGGACAGTGAAGCCTTTTTCGCGGGTCGCAGGGCGTTGGACTGCTCAAAAAATACACGGACCGTCTCCGCCACGTCTCCCTGCTCGAGATCCTCGACCATCTCCTCCAGACTAACCTCGAATAGCTGGCTGAATAGTTTGGCCAGTTGCTTACTCTGCAGATTGTACACTCGCTTCACCACCCCCGGTAGCAGAAGGCGCGTCCACAGCAGGAGGTTTCCCTTGAAGCCATCCCCGCCGGTGCCATTTGTGAAGAAATCACTGATAATTTCAGACTTTTTCTTGTAGCTTGGCTCGTCCGCAACACTAGCGCAGATCTGGCGGAACTGACGGAACGCATTGTCCCTGTGGCCAGGATCAGTGGTGTCCTCAACCTCAGATTTTCCAGACGAGCTCGGGACGGAGCTGCTGCTAGCTGCTGCCGATGAATCACTACCAGTAGGTAGTTGCTGCTGCTTGGTGACCTTTTTCGGCGTGGTTGGCTTTGCTGGGCGATTTTCATTAGCACTTTCGATGAGATCCAGCACCTTCTTCCGATCCCCCGATTCTATGGCATCCCAGCCATCCAGATCATCAACCTCTTCGATTATTTTGGTGCTCGCTCTTGCCCGCGCGAATGTTTCAAATATGCAGTCTGAATGAAACCACTGTTTCATGTCGCCACCATTATCGGAGAATGGGTTCGAGACAAGCTTCGCTATCCTGAGAAGACCTTTGTCTATTTTTACCTTGCACTTCTTACAACCAGCTGTGCCCCTCTTTGCATACTCGATGCAAAACTTCTTATCAGACATGGTTGTCTAGTGCCAAGGTCTAATGTCCCTTTACGAAGAAAGGAAGAGCTGAAATTCTGCGGGCCCAACTTGGTGATGTATCAGGGACGCACAAGACGAACTACAAGACAAAGGCAAATGCTGCCTGCATGTTCATATCAGAAGTATGTAGCAGCACACGTTACGGCGAAGCAAATGGAAAGGATCAGAAGAGTGTAAAAACAACTGACATACCCCCTGCCAGCTCAGGTTTCATCTGGTCTACAGTCTTCCTGTTGCTGTTCGGTAGTTCATATTGTTCACGATTTACTTGTAGAACGCTGAAAGCACAATTGTGTCGAGTGAGCACTCCCATTTCTATACTGCCGTAGGACACGCTTATACCAATGATTATCGTTGGCTTATATGATCTAGTCTCACTACCCCGCTAGGATGCACAAAAATAGCAAGGGAAGGGCTTGGGGCCATGCCCTTCTCCTGAGCCAAGATATTTACACCAGATATTGGGCGATTTCACAGGAATTTGGATCACATGTCACTGCTCAGGCTAAGCCATTTACAAGTGACTGGCAGAATCTGGCACTGGCAGTATCATGTCAGTGCCTTACTCAATTAGCCAGACATGCATGCTCATGGCGTTCAAGTCATTGCCTTTTGCATAAAGTGGATTCAAAATATTTTGCATGGCAAGATTTATCTTACCATAATGATTAGTGGAGATTGCTACTAATACCAAGAACAAGCCACCCAGGTAGAACCCATTCACTATGAATGATAGTTTATCTCTGGCCTATTTGTCAGACTGGCTTATAGAGCACTGCAAGAAATCTACCTTTATCACATGGTTACAGAGAATGTGTTACATTCTAAGAGCACATGATGCCAGCTCAGTACAAATCTAAACTTACTCTGATGTAAGAATGTGTAGTCATGGCAAAATTGATTGTGAACATATATTTAGCTTACTCTGAACCCAACTGGGAATGCAACTGCCATAGTCATATGAGCTAAGGTTTTTCATCTCCAGATTTGTCAGGCACACCATTTTGTGATGCCATTTTCAAAACAAGTGACACTTTTTGACATTGTTCTGTGTGATAAAGCTTCGCACTTGACTTGTGGCAATACCAATAAAATTATCCTGCATTTTCAACACAATTCCACACAATAAGACTGTAAATGAAATATAATGTTTATATCAGTCATAAAGTGTTTACATATATATCGTAAAGTATATAAAATAAAATACCATGAGACTACAAATGAGAGACAACATCAATATTTATCATAAAAACTGATCTGACTAGATCTGGTACACTGGCAGTGACAACAAAAAAGTATGATATGTGTGCAATTCAACCCTGTGACAACCACCACCTATTAATTCACATCAGACAGGATTATGAACCAACAAACAACCCACACCGAGAAAATGAAACACTGCTCAAGATGGCTGATGTCCCTAACAAGTTTATGACGGTTATGCTGTACTTAATCATGTTTACTCCTTCTCCCACAGATGATTGTTTATGTGCGTATGTGTCCTTGGGGGTTAACAACATACTCAGCTGTTAAGGCTATATGGCATCACCTGCCTCTCACCCTGGCACGAAGGGCGGGCACCGCAGAAAATCAAACCCCGTATCTCTTGGTTTCCCAGACATGCAGTGGTCAACACACGTGTTAACCACTTCACTACCTGCACCCCTGATAATTGTTAATTTTACCATTTGTCCCTCTATGCTCAACTGGCCAACCACTGCTACTATCCTGGTATGCACTGCCTTTACCATCCAAATAATGCAATGTATTACCAGAGGAAAGGGCCTGCAGCAGTTGAGCATTGCACAATTATCCAGATCAGCTGCATACAGACAATGCCTGCTCGTCATGCTGTAGTTTATCCGCCAGTGCACACAGCACCACCTGACCATGTTCTGAGCTGATCATAGCCACCTGGCTGCACTCTGAGCTGATCATAACCACCTGACTGTGCTCTGAGCTGATCATAACCACCTGACTGTGCTCTGAGCTGATCACAACTACCTGACTAGGATGTGAGCTGATTATAACTACCTGACTGGGCTGTGAGCTGATTATAACTAATACCAAAAAGTGTCAGTATGATTGTAACTGATCAAGAAATGACCAAACATTGTGAATATTGTGACCTTGGCTGAGAGTGCAGATTTACAAAGCTTAAGCAGATTTAAGCTGACCTGAATCTCTCAAAATCTTTGGTTCCTAAAAGAGAGGATGTGAGGCATGGCAATCAAACCTTAAATAAGATGGTACCAAATCTTGAAGAGCTGAATATCAGCATCATGCGCTCAACTTCATTTAATTCTACCAGGGTTCATCTTCCCTACCAATAAACTATTGTAATACTGAGTATAATAACCTATATCAATGTGTGTCAGGCCTGCATCAGACCAAGTTACCCATATACTTTTATTTCATTGCTTTAGTGAGACTTTGCTGAAATTATTTCCATCTACTCAAATTCATGTGGACCTCCAAAGTCAAACCCGACCCTTGATACACTGACATGTGCCTACACCAGGCTTTGAATCTCAAAATGTTATGCATGCCTTGCTCTAAATGTTGAACCAAACACATGCTTGCAAAAAATGCACAAATATTTTGCCTGATCAATGCAGATGAAAGAACTATCTGTAACAATAATTACCTGCACTGGTATTTCAATGTTTGAGCTAATGCATTCAGATGTAGAGGAAGCATTATTCCTGGCAAGCAAACATAGTTAGAGGAAACACTCACACCACAGACACATAATCCTTATTACTTCCAGGATCTTTTTCAAATTTAGATGAGAACCTCCCATTTCCCAAATGCCAACAACCTTGGTGAAAATATTAAATACCCATTCAGTAAAACAAGCACTACAAAGTGATTCTGGCATTTTTTCAACACAATTTCTCCACATTTCAGTACACAAAGAGCTTTATAAATTTTATTTATAAATATCTTAATAATTAAATATGCTTTACTGCATCTGCTTAAATGTTTCAGAAAATTGGCAATTGCCTAAGCATAATGCTAAGTGCTTCCAATAAATGAAAGGGTCCCCATGCAGCCATGGATAGTCATCCATGCACACACCCCACAACTCCCACCCCTTCTCTATCTGTCACCAGCGGGATGGTACTTAAAAAACAAGGTAGTCCCAACAATACTGGATAAAATTTATAATTTGGTTTTTCACGGACTATGAAAGTGTTCCATTGTCGCCCTCAGCGGTGCGGGGACCCCTGCCTTTTTCGAAATCCGCCCCCAAAAAACAAAACACGTCCATCAAAATTTGAAACCTGTAACAGCCCATAATATCGATATATGAACATGCCTGCAGGTTCACATACAAACCTGATGTCCCCGATCCCCGGCCGGCCCGGCGGCCCCACAGTCCACGTATGACCTCGCACTACAACCCCAGACCACCAATCGTCTGTCGGCTGCAGCCAAGGCCGTGTAAGAGAAGAAAAACCGTCCGGTGATTCTCGTTTCGTCCTTCCCAGCCTACGGGTGACGTCACTGGTAACAGAATTTTCATGCGCATTGGGCCGCAGGGTTACAACGCGCGGTTGGCCGCCAGCTTTTAATGCGTGGTGGGGTGTAATGCGGAACGACAGCCCGGTCCAGAATACCGAAATATTCTTATAGATAACAAAATACCGTTTTTGAAAGGTCTTTTTGACCAGCGCGCCGACTAGGTAGGATTGTATGGCGACTATGACGATGTGCTTCACATGCCTATGAGGCAAGCCTCTAAAATGTAATGGCATGCAAAGTAAAGACATATTCACGCGACTTTTTCGTATACGGCGGCATGAATATCAGGCTACCTTTGCACCCAAAACGGATAAATTGTTAGTGACAGATGTGTCTGAGCGAGCGAGCGATTGCGTAACATTTAACGGCCAGTATGACGATGGGCGTGGCAACCTCAAGCGGCAGGCCATTA